CATTAAGCTCCGAGGCCGGTCACCTTGGAGATGTCCTCCCAACAGTTCGAGACCAGCGCATGCCAGGAGCACTGACTGGTTGCGATGTACACACAGATGCAACCCTTCCCGGGATGCTTGACTCTTTTCGCATCTCCACTAGCAGGAGATAGAGGAGGGGTCAAGGCAACTCCACAGAGGGACGAGATGCAATGCACAACACAACACCGAACGAACACCTCAGGCTGTGATCGAGAACAAGTCGAGTCGGATCCGGGTAGCAACGCGCGCCGGGAGGGCCCAGGGGGGTGACGGGGTTACCTGGGAAGCCCGCTAGAACCGGCGAAAAACCTGACAGCGCACCATCACATGGACAACTGACCTTGGGCATCCTTCCGCAGAAGGCCTGACAACGCTAAGAACTTCCCTCCCCCTTCCCGGCAAGCCCAGTGAGACCCGCATGCCGTAGGTGCCCACCCAGCAAAACTCCTTCCACTTTAACCCCCTGAACCCCTGTCCACCACGACCGGCGACACACCAGCGCGACCGTTTCGTTTCCCTGGTTGCCCCGTCAACTGCCCGAAAATTCGTTTACTTCTACAGCCCAGCAACTACTCCACGGGCCAGGCGTGCATCTTTTTCACATCCATTCACGAACGTCATAAACACTCCACGGCAGTCCTGGTGCGCAGCACATAACCACTCGCATTCAAATACAAAGCCTTTCTTCCCATTCTGCATTGGCCCCGATTTCCCATCCACACCCCAAGCAAATCCACGTCTCCCTACATACGGTCTTGCGCCTCTTTCAAGCTCTACCTGCCACACACAAATCAATCGCATCGCATCGCCAATACCATCTGCAATTCTGCACCTTGCTGCACCGCGCATACACCAACTTTCTAGAAAATCAACAGACAGTCTATCAGCAGCCATGTCTCCCAACGTTCTTACCGAGAAGTCCACCAACACGCCCGTTGTCGCTAAGACCGACTCGGCCACCAAGGAGGTTAAGAGCATGGAGTACCACCGTCAGGTCCTGCAGGACAAGATGGCCCAGGAGAAGTAGGACGGCCCTCGACCTCAACAACACCAGACTGCAGTGCTGACCACTGCGACAACAGCTCCAAGGACTACATCTCCCCCTCTGACAACATCATGAGCCCCTGCACCGCCAAGCTCAACGCCCTCCGCAACAAGCAGGTTGGCAAGTAAGTCGCTCTTCTTCTTCACCAAGCATTCGATCCAGCAGCGATGCTAATCGCTTCGTCACAGGGTCAAGCCCAAGTCTCTCTTCGCCCAAGCCTCCGCCAAGAAGGTTGGTGGCAGCAACCTCTTCAGCTCCAAAACCGCCTCACCCAAGGAGAACGCCTTTTGAAGTCGACTCGTCGCATCTTCTTTGCCAAAGTACAAAAGCTTTTGATGATGGGATGGGTTCTCTCGGGTTGTTTTCACGGTTCTTTCTGGCGGGTTATTGAACCTGCGGCCTCCTCTTGATGTTTTCAGAGGGGCATGGGGCATCGGCGTTCAATGGGGGTACCACTGTCTTGCTTTAGGATAAAGGGACTGTACCATGACATGACACGAAACGATATCAGCTTTTTCTTTCTTTCTCTGTCTCTCCTCTAGTTCTTTTAATGGCTAAAATTCTGGGAGGGACTGTATTCATCGGCTGGCCATATGCAGCCTCGCCTGGGCAGGAAATACAACTCCTCACGCACTAAACCACTTCATCCCATTCGTATGCTCTCATGTAATGTTGTCTACGCCTTCCAAGCACTCACAATGTAAACCACATCCTCGTCCGCCACGGCATGTCCCAAACCCACCCTCTGCGGCACATGTCTCGCACTCGCGCCCCAGACCAGCGCATACTTGAAGGTTTCCTTGAGCGTCCGGTGGATACGGTCACACACGTCCTCGATGGTGCTGTTGCTGCGCACAATCAGCGCCTCGCCGAAGTCGGGCTCAATGCCCTTGCGCTTCGTGTAGATGCGGATGAGCTTGAGCTCCTGCCAGCAGCGGTCGACGACGTCCTGGATGCCGAGGTCGAGCTCGCAACTCATGACGACCGTGTGGGGCTCGCGCGCGAGCTTGTCGAGGAAGTCGAGCGAGACGCTGTCGATCTTGTTGTAGACGTACAGGCACTTGATGTACTTGCGGTGGTCCTTCATGATGACGTCGATGAGGTCGTCGACGGTGGCGTTCTCGTCGCGCACGAGGACCTCGCAGTTGAGGATCTTGTAGTCGCGCAGGATGTTGAAGATCATCTTCTCGTCCATGGCCTTTGGAGGAGATTGGAAGGTGATTTTCATGCCGCCGGCCTTCTTTGCTTTGAGGTAGATGTTACTGCGAAGGGTTAGCTTGGAAGATGTTTGTGAAGGGGGGAGTCTTACGGAGGTTCTCTGTTCAGACGAATGCCGACGGCTTCCAGTTCAGCCTCGAGCAGGGCCCTTTGCTCCGCCTTCTTGGTCGCGTCCAGGACCATGAGAATCATGTCGCTGGTCTTGGCCGCGGAGATGACCTGTCTTCCTCTACCCTTGCCCTCGGCGGCACCCTCGATGATACCGGGCAGATCGAGCAGCTGAATCTCGGCGCCGCCATATTCGAGGACACCAGGGATGGCTGTGAGTGTTGTGAAGGCATAAGATGCGACTTCGGACCTCGTTTTGGTGACCTTGGATAAGAACGTGGATTTTCCGACGGAGGGGAAGCCGACAAGAGCTATTCTTGCATCACCGCTTTTACTGACGTCGAAGCCGGCGCCGCCACCACCGCCTGAACCTGGACCGGGTTCCAGAAGCTGTGCTCTTAGACGTGCGAGTTTACTGTCCACTGTCAGTGGTGTAGTTTCGAAAGGTTTTCGAGGCAACTTACCCCTTGAGAAGACCCAGATGATATTCTGAAAGGGGTTGGTTAATGGTTTTCAGACAATGCGACGTTCATCACAAACATACCAGTGGCCTTGTTCTCTAGAAAATGTCAGTAAATGTCTTTGTTGAATAATGCACAACACCTGGTTTGTCTTTTCAGCACTTTCAACCCATCCGAGAACCATCCCCATGCGCTACTGCTTCAGGCAGTGCCTCGAACGACACTACTCGACCATAGGTTGCTCGGATGGTGATGAAAATTTGCCAGAAAATGAACCTCGTCATTCGGTGAGAGTGCGCTTACTCTGCGTCTTCCTCATCTCATCCTCAATCCTGATCCCTCATCGTCAGTTACTGCTCATACTGATTCGCCGAGGGGGCCATACTCCTTGATCTTTTCCGTAATGTTGACCATCTTGGCGGCTTATCTGTTCAGAGTCTAACGACTCCGAAAACCCCGTCTAAAATGATTCAAAGATGGCACGAAGAGAGCGCCTACGCCGGGTCGATGAAGGCTTCACAGATTCCAGGGTGGGGCAGCCACACTCCAAGGCGTGGGAAGACGATGGCCGTGGCAGAATTTACCGCGGGGCTGCTTCCACCGGCATGGGTCCCACTCACCGCCCTTAACCACAGCTACTGCGCCACACATTGAAGAACGCGGTGAGGCTTACCTAATGCGTCGCGCGGCGAACCTAGAAATTCGTCTTGCGACAACATTCTCTCGACGTTTTGTTCATCACAAACCGCAATTCCACGAGTTCGAGTATACGAAAACGCAATTATGTCAGACGAAGAAGTCGCCGTCGCCAGAACGCAAGATGTCGATGCGCCCGAGGCACAAGAAACGGCGCTGACGACGACCAACACCGAAGTCGCCGCGCCGGCGGAGAGGAAAGTAAAGAAGATCATCCGCAAGAAGAAGCGCCCGGCGCGTCCGCAGGTCGACCCGTCCTTCATCACCTCCGAGCCCCCGCCGCAGACCGGAACGATCTTCAATATCTGGTACAACAAGTGGTCCGGCGGTGACCGCGAGGACAAGTACCTGTCCAAGACGCACGCAAAGGGACGCTGCAATGTTGCCAAAGACAGCGGATACACAAGGGCCGACAAGGTCACTGGGAGCTACTTTTGTCTTTTCTTCGCAAGGGGAATCTGTCCCAAGGGTCAGGACTGCGAATACCTGCACCGGCTGCCTGGTATTCACGACCTGTTCAATCCGAACGTGGACTGCTTTGGGCGAGACAAGCATTCCGACTACAGAGACGACATGGGCGGTGTTGGTAGCTTCATGAGGCAGAATCGGACCATCTACGTGGGAAGGATACATGTTACGGATGACATCGAAGAAATTGTGGCGCGTCATTTCGCAGAATGGGGACAAATCGAGCGAAGTATGGTCATCGACCCCTTTTCATTTCTGGTCCACTGCTAACATCTGTATAGTTCGTGTGCTCAATACACGCGGAGTTGCTTTCATCACATACACCAACGAGGCAAATGCGCAATTTGCCAAGGAGGCAATGGCACACCAGTCGTTGGACCACGAAGAGATTCTCAACGTCCGCTGGGCGACAGCCGACCCGAACCCCATGGCCCAGGCGCGCGAGGCGAGGCGAATCGAGGAGCAAGCCGCCGAGGCCATCCGCAGGGCACTGCCAGCGGAGTTCGTCGCAGAGATTGAGGGCAAAGACCCGGAAGCCAGGAAAAGGAGAAAGATTGAGAGCAGCTACGGGCTCGAGGGCTACGAGGCGCCGGACGAGGTTCACTTCGCGCGTGGTGCGAACGCTGTGAACCCCGTCGGGCGGGAGGGCTTCGAGGTAGAATACCAGGAGCGGCCTATGCTTGAGAATGGCGATACGGCGAACCAGGCACAGTACGCCCTGCCTGCGCCGCAGGAGCAGTCCATCTTGTCTGGTGGCATCTTCTCTAGCAGCACCTTGGCAGCCTTAAACACCGCCAAGGTAGCGGTGGCATCGAAGCCGAAACCCGCCGCGTCTGCGGGACCGTTAGTCGCGTACGACAGCGACGACGATGATGAGTGAGTATGGTGGGAACCAGGGGCATTGTACAATAATTGACAAAAGCGATCATGATACCCGTTGATAATGGAACATCGAGGGACACAGGCTTGCGACCTGAAAGAATTCAGCTGTTGAATATTCGTGAATACAGAACTTCGTGTCTGCCTATCCATAAATCCATGACGGGCATCGTCTGCCCGGCTCGCTCTACTGGTGTCTCCCACTCCCTCTCGATAGCGGCAGTGATGATTTGTTGGACCTGTCCACTAGCAAGGACCTTCTGCGCCTGGTATGGCCCGAACATGCTCGCTCTCACGGCCGCCGATACCAGAGCCTTGATGTGGCCCATCATGAAGACATACGCCGTCTGATGCAGGGTGAGCCCCACCAAGTTGCAGATGGCCCCGAAAAGGGGCGCCAGGTGCGCAAACACCAATGGCGGGTCGTCAGACTCATCGGCGCTCGGTCTGGACGACGCAGACTTTAACATGGCCGCGTACGGCTGTAATGTCTCGACTACATCGCGGGGCAGAGACGAGACGAAGGAGCGTTCCCAGATAGACAGCAGCGCGCGGCCTTGCGCTATGGAGGCGCGGCGGCCGACGGTGCAGATGATTGCTGCGTCGAGAAAGTCGTCCAACTCCGCGACCGCAGAGGGATCGCGATGCGCTGCGAGAACGAAGGGGAGCGTTGTCGAGGCGTAAGCCGAAATGGATTCTGGGAGGAAGATGTTGAAGGAGGAGCGGCCTCGGGTGTGCGCTAAGTAGGACTCGAGACCGCTGCTGAAGGCGAATGAGCCTAGTGGAAGAGCCGAGTCTGACAGAAGAAGGTGATAGTGATTCGACGTCGTGAGTGAGGCTTTGGGTGTATTAGTTGTGAGAAGTACTCGTGTTGTGAGACGGATGACTGACAAGATGGTTTCGGGAGACTTCTCGACGGTAATGAGTGATCCTCATTCTGCCCACTGAGACTCTTCAACTTCCCCCTCGCCGCGGCCAGACGCGCTTCCAACTCCAGCACCTCCTTCTCAGCATCGGCAATAGACTCGTCTTGCGCCATTGGAGACGACTCAGGAGGTGGCATGGAAAGTGTTGGAGTTGATAAGCTTTTGATAGCGCCAAGGGCCCCTGCAGACTTGGGGTCAGCGGCATCGGCGGGGTCTCTCAGTGAGCGCAACCCCCACTGAATGGAACCCCCCTCAGGAGATCGGGACGCGCTGATGGGCGTTGCAGGGGTTGCGCTTCGGCGTCTGCTCTCGTCCCACTTCGCCGTTCAACTTGTCTACCTTCGGGGACTGATGGAGTAAAAAGGTCTTTCGACATTGTGAGCATTGTGGGTGAGAGCTATCGTACGATTCTCACCAATCATATTTTGGGAATCTCACTTCTTTCCTCCTCGTCGATTCGCGGTTCTCTCTCAGAGCTCTGTGCTACCGACTGCGCGCACCTCGATTCACACGAATTCATCGGCTCATTATCGGATTAGAGGAGCTCGTCACCGACGTCATCACCCTCTCCTCTCCGCAGCCCGCCCCGGCCGCAATGCGCACAAGATGAAGTCGCACGACCAGATGAAGAGCGCCGAGGCCAATGACGCCGCGTGGGAAGCTACCCGGGGTGCCGTCGTCGGCGCCGCAAGATGGGGCATCGGCGCTGCGGTGTTGGGTGCAGCTGCATGGAAGTTCTCGCCATTGTATAAAGGTCTCACTATCCAGTTCAAATGGTAATGCGTCACGCGACACTGCCGATACCACTCGGAAACGGACTAACTTGGGTGACAGCTACATACAAATGTCCGCCATGGTGTTAGGAAGTATGCTGGAAGCCGATCATAGGTTACGAGAGTATGAGGCCAGGATCAGAATGCAGAGGCGTCTGATGAGGGACAGAGCCAAGTGGGAGAGGTTTGAGCAGGAGTTTCTCGAGAACCCTGAGGAAAAGAAGTAAGCGGCCTCACAGTCGAGGCCCTGGGCCATCTATGGATATCAAGAGATGTTCTAAGATGCTTTCATTTTACTGTATAACACCGGATATTGAATCCATGGCTTTCACTGTCAAGTATCGCGGAAATAAATCCCCAAACGCCAAATCATGCAAGTCATTACTTCCTGCCTGCGCAGGTTTGCTGATTATCCGTTTCATTTTGACGGCGCCTCAAACTTCTTGGGGTCCATGTTGATCTTGCACAGCCTCGCCACGCAGCCGCTCAGCTGCAGCAGCGTCTGTACTCCTTCCAAGATCTTCATATGCGTAAATCCAATCTCCTTGATGAATTCCAGCTTCGAATGCTCGCTCAGAGTAGGGATGGTCTTGGTGACCTTGAACATGGTGCTGATAATGTCATGGCTCGAGTATCCCAGATCCCAAAGCTCCCTCAGACTGTCCAAAGCCGAGTCGACATTGCCCTCGTAGCAAGCCTTGAGCATGGCCTGCACCTTGATCGGGTGCGGCGAGTCCACGACCTTGAAGACGTTGTCACCGGAAACGAAGCCGAAACCGGCAAAGGTTGATTGCAGGTTGTTGATGGCCTGTCGCATGTCGCCCTCGGCACTGAAGACGAGCGCAGCGAGGCCATCATCGCTATACTCAACCTTTTCAGCCTCGATAATTTGCAGCAAACGCTTGACGACCTGCTCGTCGGTGAGGCGGGCGTAACGCAGGATTGCGCAACGAGACTGGAGAGGTTCGATGATTTTGTTGGACTGGTTACAGGCGAAGGCGAAGCGGGTTGTGTTGGAATAGATCTCCATCGTGCGGCGAAGGGCTTGCTGCGCGCCCGATGTCATGCTGTCGGCTTCGTCGAGGATGACAAGCTTGTGGCGGCCTTGGGGGAGAGTGACCTTCTTTTGGGCGAAACCCTTGATGCGGTTACGGACAACGTCAATACCTACGGAAACACGTCAGCGGTTGCATCTGTAGAGCACCAAACCAATCGCACCTCTTTCATCAGAAGCGTTCAGCTCTAGGACTGCCTCCTTGTATGAGTCTCCCAGCAACTGTCTTGCCAGACAGAGTACACTTGTCGTCTTTCCAATACCAGGCATACCCGAGATGATGACGTGCGGCATGTTTCCTTCCTTCGCAATGATTTTGAGGCGATCGATCGTTTCGGTGTTTCCGACAACATCATCAAGGAAAACGGGACGGTACTTCTCGACCCTGAGAAACGCATCAGTATGTGGCCTCATTGCCATCGACAATGGATTCCTACCAAGGAAGCTCATAGTTGGGGGCGCCGTTTGACGCTGCGGTCAGAGCCTTCTTGGCCGCAGAAGTTGAGGACTCGCCGACCTCCTCGGGCTTGGTGATCGTCTTTTGTGCAGGCATGGTTGCTAAGCCCGATGTTTGTCGTGAAGGTGCGCAATTGGAGGAGCTTGGAGTTGTGCTGGTGGTGGCAGAAGCACTTTACGCGATGCTCTGGGAAAAGACGCGTCGGGACCCGCGCTAAGCTCGACAGGCTCCACTAAAAAGTACGCGGTACTTAGGTACAGTACCGATCTTGCCTACTGAAGCTCTTTCTCATTATTTCTCCATACTCAGTAATTCAAGCTATCGTTCATTGTATCTCGTCTATGATCTACAACGGGACGAGACAAAGGCATTCATTTCTTGGCGCAAAAACATGACAGCGTTTTTATTGGTATCTAATCATCATCCTCATCGGCCTTCTTCTTGCCCTTCCTGCTTTTCGCTCCGCCCTTGAAGTGCTTCTTGCCAGAGGACAAGCGCACGTCCTTGGGGTCGACACCATTTTCCAGAGCAATCATAGCACGAGCTTTCCTACCACTCAGGTGCTTCTGGCCCTGCTCGGTGTACTTGTGGCTGAATGGCATCTTAAGGTGGCCAGCACCGCTGCCGCCGGCGCCGAAGAAACCCTTGTCAATCTGCTTTGACTTGGGGCCGGCAGGAAGCACTGCCAGATCAGAGGGCGCTATCGAGATGTCGTCGCCGACGAGCGACATGGTGTCGAGAGACGCCGCCAGCGCCGCACGACGCTTCTCCGGTAGATGGGCGGCATCGTAGAGCTCGTTGTTGAACTCTGGACCGTCGACGGTATTCGGCGGTGGCTCGCAGTACAAGAGCTTACCGTTGACGTAATCCTTAAGGATATATCTGGAAGCTCTTGACTCGTCAGGCTGACCCAGACCAGATGTTTGGAAACCTCTGGCCTTAGCGTAGGAAGCAAGCAGCTCCTGTGCAGTGGGGATTCCAGTGCCACCCTCCTCGATTGCGCGGGTCTTGATGGTAATTCCGTAAACGGCCTCGAGGAACGGCTTGGGAATTCTTCTGGTGACGAGGCCTGCGGGGCCGGTGAACTCGCGCAGTTGATCGATAGGCAGGACACCGTTGCAGACGAGGTCGGCCTTGGTGCTTGCAAAGTTTGGGAAAACAAGACCGGGGCAATCGCACAACACAACGTTGTCGCTGAGGTGAATGGTCTGGAAGTGCTTTGTCTTTCCTGGTGTTGAGGAGACAGACACCTTCTTGGCGCCGATGAGGGCGTTGATGGTGGAGGACTTTCCGACGTTGGGGTATCCAACAAGACCAATCTGCATCTTGTGGCCAGGGTCTAGATTTTGGCAATTAGCTTCTCTGTTAATATTGGAGGCACTTGCATAAACATACCGGCATTCTCAGGGGCATGGCTCAGGAAGATATCTTCCAGCTCCTCGACCGTCAGGATCCTTGTGTCCTCATCTTCAAGCTCGACTTGTTCTTGTGTAGTCTCAGCACCGGCCTCAGCACTTGTCTCAGCACCGCCTTCCTCTCCGTCATCGCTCTCTGACTCTTCCTCGTCAGCTTCAGCTTTTGTCGCCGCAGGCTTGGCTTGAGAGCTGCTGCCGGCTTCGGGCTCATCCTCCTCCTCCTCTTCGTCGCTTTCCATCGACTCCTGAAGTTCCTTGGCCAGGAATGCAGAGAAGAATCTGTAAGCAATACCGTTCTCCTTCAGGTACTTGGCCCACGTCTTTCGTTGGGTGAGCGTCAACATATCCGCCTTGTTGATGAGAAGGAGGTTCTCCTTCTTTGTATCGATCTCCTTCACATATTGTTCCAAGTCCTCGGATCTGAACATCAGTGGGTTTCGCGCATCGACAATCTGAACCACAAGATCCGACCGCTCAATAACACGCCAAAGCTGCCTCCAAACCTCGAGGTTCCGCTCGAACGGTGTCATCAGCAGATCGTTGTTCTCCTGCAACTCAGCAAGACCTCTGCGCCAGTTCAAGAAACTATCCCTCTCTGCTCTGTCCAGCTCTTCAGGTGTAGTGGACGCATCCCACTTCGGTCTTCTCGGTACGGTCAGTCGTCCCTTGTGAGCCTTCTGCTTGGCAATCACACCCCGCTCCTCGGCTCCGGAAAGCAAATAGGGGTTCTTCTGGTCGGTGTGTATAATCTTGATGTTGTTCATCTTCTCGGCGGTGAAGTCCGTTCCAGCCAACTCTGCTGTCGCAAGGAATTCGTCGAGAGCGCCTTGCTCCGTGACCGATCGCATCTTGACCCATGCTGCCTCTTGTCGCTCGTTCGTGAGGTACTATTACACTGTCAACACTGCTATAAGTGCGCGATGATTGTGGGCTATCCTTTTACCTCTTCTCCGGTGGCATGGTTCACTCGCGTGATGGATGAGCCCTTCTTTCTGTCCGTGCCACGACCCTTGCCGAAGCGGTCGTTCATGAGGGCATTGCCCAAACCGGACGTCTTCTTCGACTTGGCGAGCACCATTATTGCGGTGTTTCTCGAATGATAGTCCAAGGAAAACAAAATAGGATTTGCTCAAGAGAGCGAGTTGCATATGAGTAATAGTAGAAAGTGGGAGCCCGTCGCAACCGGTCAGAAGAGAATGCAATGCCCCGCTGATTAATGGCGTAGGTCGCGGGGCAAAAAAGTCCCCCGCTGCAAGTAAAAACCCTTTTCGGCCGCTTGGACTCTTATCGATAGAACGATAACATACGATAAGCGCAGAAAAAAGCCATCCCACCAAGGGACTTTTTTTTTCGAGGCCCGGCCAGGTGCGCATGCGATCGAGGGGTACGTCCGTTCGTCCCACACATTCAATCTTTGAGCCCGGAAACCCGACACCACCAGCTTGTTGTTTGCCACGAAGTATCAACATCAGCAAATATGGCGAAGGGAAAGTGGATGTGAGTCTTTGTGTGTTTTCTGAAGATATGCGCCTCGGACTGACTTTCCCCTTCATAGCGACAAGAAGAGTGCGCAGCATTTCACCCTCGTCCACCGTCCCCAAAATGACCCGCTCATCCACGACGAAAATGCGCCGTCCATGGTTCTCAACCCTGTCGCCCAGCGCGGTGGTGACAAGGGCAAACACCTGAGCGATCTTGCATCCGACCTTGGGTCTGATGCCGCTAGCATTCGAGACAATGAGGGCGAGGCCGCAGAGTATGGAATCTACTACGACGACACCGAGTATGACTACATGCAGCATATGCGCGACCTCAACCAGGGTGGTGGCGAGGCCGTCTGGGTTGAGGGCTCAGCCACAGCGAACAAGGGCAAGGGAAAGCAACCGCAATCTCTCGAGGACGCTTTGCGCCAGATGGATCTCGAGCATAGGAGCGAGGCCATCCTCGACGAGTCCGTCCTTCCGTCAAAGAACCTCTCGCGCATGAACTACCAATCTCAGCAAAACATACCCGATGCGATTGCCGGATTCCAACCTGACATGGATCCTCGGTTGCGTGAAGTTCTGGAGGCACTGGAGGACGAGGCGTTCGTGGATGATGAGGATGATGACATTTTCCAGCAACTGGCCAAGGACAATGAGGAGATCGACGAATATGAGTTCGAGGAGCAATACGACTATGACGAAGATGACGGCTGGGAATCAGATGCAACGGCGAAGCCAAACAAGGAGTATAAGGAGGACGGCGTGCCTGAGCTGGTTCCTGTTGCTGCAGTCGAGGGAGAGGCACTGCCAGAGCATCAGAACGAAGACTGGCTCGAAGACTTCAAGAAGTTCAAGAAGGATCAAAAGGAGGGCAAGCCCCAAGCCAAGGCTGCTCCATCTGAGTTACAGTCCTCCATCTGGACAACGACAACGATGGGCGGCCGTAAGAAGAAGAGAAAGGGTGCCCTCACGAACCCTTCCACCTACTCCATGACCTCATCATCGATGGTCAGGACAGAACAGCTCACACTTCTGGATGCTAGGTTCGACAGGATCGAGGAGGAGTACACAAGTGAGATGGGCGGCGACGACATGGCTTCAGTCTCGGAAATGTCAACGGTGTCCAGTGTCACGGGTCCCACCAGAGGTGACTTTGATAGCATCATGGATGATTTCCTTGGCAGCTACACCAAGCCTGGAAAGAGGACAAACAAGAAGAACAAGGCACAGAGTGGACTCGAGCAGCTGGACGAGATTAGAAGGGGCCTTGGCCCAGCTCGCCTGCGTGGAAAGGCACACGTTAGCGGACGGGGTTGAAGTCTGAATATCTGAGGCATTCAGCGCCATCTAGATGCTGAAACCGAGATACCCTTCATTTCATGTCAGAATAATCTGCATGAGATGATTCTGTAATGAGCAAACGACACCAAAATAGATTCCTCTTTCGATCACCTCGACTCACTGTACCCATTGAGCTTTCGTAAGATACGTGACTGTCGTAAGCTCCCTCGAATTAAACTTGACTCTGGAAGTCGCTTGAGCAGTGAATTGGATCGTTTATTCACCGTCGCGAATTCCATAGGGCCTTCCTGAACGGGCGTGTATTTAGGGATTAAACACACCCCGCCTCGAAATATTTGTGGGTCTGGATAAACGCCAATTGGCTAAGCGCGCCAAACACGCGGCAAACGCTGGCCAGCTCCATCCCAGTTCTCCACCCTCACGCCAGCTGCTTCGCTGCTTCCATTTTGAAGCCCAGCCGCGACTTCGACATGACGTCGGTCTCCTTTCCTCCAAGCAGACCCGACAGAACTTCATCGCCGCTCGGAGCATCATCATCAGGAGGCTTTGGAGGAAAGCCTTCTGAGCATCATTACGGTTCCGGCCTCGATGGGGCTGGCGCCGGCGGTGGGAAGCGGTCGAAACGCAACCACAAGACTCAACCTGTCGAAATGACGACCCTCTCAACGAAGCGAAAGGGCGTCAATCCCTTCGGCGACGGCGCGAGCTCAGACGACAATCGCAGGCGAAAAAACACAAAGACGAGCACACCCGGCGATTGGAAGAAGAAGACCGCGCAGGCGGCAGGCGCGAGGTCGAATGGCGCGACGAGAGGCGCGAAAGGCTTTGGTACATCACAGTCGCGTGGTGGCTTCGGCTCTCAAAATACTGACTCCCACAAAGGCGCGGACTCTACCGACTACGAGACCGACGATGCGAACGGCGGCACTGGCGGCGATGGCACACCGTACTCGGAGCGGATCTTTGCTCAGCTGAAGAAGGATGGAATCGCGCCGCCAAAATGGCCTGCCGATCCGGGAAACACGAAGCAAAAGGCCGCGATGGCTAAGTTTAGGGAAGACTACAAGACCTACCGCGATCGTGCTAGGACATCGTTGATGCGCGCGGGCTTGATTGACGATCCCGACAAACCCAAGCGATTAGAAGACGCGATCGACTTCAAAGGCATTTGCGACGCCATGTGTCCCGACTTCGAGAAAATCACGCGCATTACCGAGTTCGACGTACAATTTCCCGAGAAGAACTCAGCCACGACGTTTGCTGTCACTTCAAAGATGGTGAAAAAGCTTGCTCGATCCGCGGCTGGACAGGAAGCTCCACTACCGATGGACGTCAGATCTACGGCGGCATTGAGGAAAACCTTGGACTACTTGATCGACGACCTACTACAAACAGACGACAACCTTCCTGTGTTGCATGGTTTTCTATGGGACAGGACGCGTGCCATTCGGCGCGACTTCATCTTCCACTCCACAATGGCTCCGGCAGAAATGAAGGACCAAGTTTACTGCCTCGAGACGATTGCCAGATTCCACGTCACATCGCTTCACTTGCTCTCTCAGGAAGGCTTCAGGCCTGAAGACTTTTCAGAACAACAGGAAATCGAACAACTGGGCAAGGCTTTGCTCTCGTTGATGTTCGCATACGACGACTGCAAACCGCACGGCGTGATTTGCGAAAACGAACCCGAGTTCAGGGCCTATCACTTGCTTTTCAGCGCGAACAAGCCAAACATCCTGGATGACGTTCAGAAGGAATGGGGTGACTCGCGGTTTTGGGCAGATTCGGACGAGATCAGGACAGCTGTGTCTCTTGTGGAAAGCTTGCAGAGTTCTGCAGATTTCCACGGGCCTCTTGGCTCTGCACCGTCTATGGCAGTATCGGCTGCGCACCGGACCTATTTCAAGATTGTCGAAAGCCGCCAAGTATCCTACACGATGGCATGTTTCGCAGAAATTCATCTTGGCCAATTACGCCGTTCGGCACTTCGATCTTTGAAGAAGGCATATACCCGACCTAGGCACGGAGCGAAAGACATCACGCCTTCAGCACTTAATCGATTCCTCAACTTTGACACGGAGGCCCAGGCTGTCGAGTTTGCCGAGCAACACGGGTTGACCTTTGTGGATGGGGAATCACCTTCTGGCGAGCTGGTCCAGTACCTAGACACCTCGAGCCGCCTGACCTGGCCAAGAATCCAGCACAGCTTTTCCCGGAACCTGGTAGAACGGAAGCGAGGATCACGCAGCCTTCCGGAAGTCATACACAGCACTATACCAGACGAATCATCGCCTGCAGAACAAACACCTTTTGCCTCGAACAACAATGGTCTGTTTGTCAGCGATGCATCTAAACCTGCTCCGAAACCCGTTCAGCCCGTGGCCAACGGTAACGGGGTGTTCAAGTCTCCCTTTTCAGCTACGCCAGGAGCCACCCCGACCAATCCAGCAGGAGCGTCACCATTCGACAAAGGTAAAGAACACTCTTACCATCACTTCAACCTTCATCACTATGTGTCATTTAATGCCCTTTTCGAAATCGCCCCCGCTTTACTCTTCGCAAATCAACTCCGTCAAAACCTCGAACTGCTTGTATTCTGTGGACAGTACAACATTATCATGGAATCTTAGAAGCCAAAATATTGGCTTAGTAACTTGAACGCCATGCGCACATCGACCAACCCACGCAAACCCAGGCGTTTTGGGCCGCCAAAACTTTCAGATCGTCGCGTTCGAGACAAGCGGGGGCATACCCATCAACGAGAGGAACATAAGCTAACTTCAAATTTCACAGCAACAAACGGCTTCCAAGGGAATGACGCGCCATCAAACCCCTTTAACCCATTCTCTGCGCAGAACCCACCAGCGCCATCAATAGAAGCGCCTGCTCCGAATCCTTTCGCAGCGAAGTCGAGTCCGTTTGCCCAACCCAGTCCAGCTCCTGGAACTTCTCCCTTCGGCGGCAGTCCGTTCGCGCCACCAGCGCAACCGAATGGAGCCTCCAAACCTTCTGCACCCGCTTTCCCTTCGTTTGCGTCTCCTGGATTTGGGCCAAGCGCTCAGCAAAAGACGCAGGAAGCCGGCCAGACCGCCTTACCGAAGCCAACGGCACCATCGACAGATACTTCTTCGCCAGCAATTACTGTGACGCCACCGACACCACAATTTCCTCTGGGAGGTGCGTCCGGTGGCTCAAAGCCTCCGAGCCCTTTCGCTGGAGCCGCAGCTGGAGCACCATCTGCAGCATCTCCCTTCTCTGGCATCTCATTCCAACCGCCTACGAACACAACGGAATCGACACAACCCCCTTTGCCTACTCAAAGCGCGCCAGCTCCTGCACAGCCTCCGATTGAGCAGCCGAAGCCAACCCCCGCGCAAAGCCCGTTCAGCGGCCTCACATCTGCAACACCACAGCTACCCAAACTACCCTCTCCCGCGCCGCCATCAGGTCAGTCTCCATTGCCGACGTTCAACTTCCAGCCAAGCGATACGCCACCCACTCCTAAACAAGTACCGGCACCTCAAGCAAGTTCTTTCCCAGCGGTCCCTGCTACGACTTCTACCCCGGCCCCGGCTTTCACCCCTGCACCTCTTCCCAAACCACCAGTGGCTGCCCCGTTGCCGAAGCAAGATGTTATGGGCGACTTTGCAAAATGGTTCGTGAAAGGCGACAATGGCTTGATCCATGAGTTCGAAAAGTTCATGGTCGAGCAAATTGTTTCAGATGCCTTTGAAAAGTACCATCGCGAAGAAGAGGAGAGGATACGAAAGGAAGAGGAGGAGAAAGCGCTCGCGGAGGCTCGAGAGTTCCGTGTTCGCACCCTCTCAGTCAGATACTTTTACCAGTGGAAGAAGATTGCCCGAAATCTTCGTCTGAGCAAAATTCGTAGGCATGAGCGAGAGGAGATGAGGAGGATACAGAAGGAAATGCGAGAGGAGGAGATGAAGAAAAGGAAGAAGGCCGCCCGTGTCGCTGAAGCGCGGAGGAAATTGGTGGAGCAGCATGGCGTTGATCCAGTCGAGGAACTCAGAGAGATCCTGCAACTTAAGAAAGACGACCCGCCAGAAGACCTCCAGGCCGAAGCAGAGGCCCTTTTCGCAACCGGTATCTTCTCCGGCGTTACAGATGAGCGTGCCGCAGTCGCCGAAGTCATCCAGGCTCCTTCAATCAACGACACATTCAAGACACCACCGCCACCGGCCAGAACCACATCGACAAACAGTCTCTCCAAGTCGGTCTCGGCCAGGCCGGCCGGCGCAAAGACACAGGCTATTCGTGCGGAATTCGGCAGCAGTGTAGACTTCCGCAGGTCTTTGCCTCCAATGTCGGCTCATTCAGCGTCGTCACGCTATACACCGTCCGAAGCATCACCGAAGCGCGTCAGCAAGGTGTCCGATCGTTGGAGGCTGAAGGCTATGGGCCTCGTGACGATGCCCAATGGGTCTGCTCTCCCGGAAGCAATCGCTGACGAAATGCGGTACAACGGCAAACGCTACAGTGGCCTGGGCTCCTTCGGTCTGGATGGAGACACCACCGAGCGGAGGAGGAGCGTGTCGGCAGACCTCGACAAAGCGGCCGAGGCTCGTCGGCGCTTCTCGCAGTCTCTTAACAGCAGCAGCGCCGCCGCCGAGCAAAGCAACGGGAACTCCCAGCTTAGTAAGAGGAAGAGGCCCACTGAGAGCGCGGCTTCGCCATCACAGGACGCCCGCGCCAAGAAGCGCCCGTCCAGCAACGCCGAAGTGGAGAGGATCATCCGGGAGGCGAGGGAGAACCTTGAATCGCTGAGGAGTTCGAGGGTGGATCTCGACGAAGGGACGGAATGGTTCAGGGAACAGAACGACATAATGCAGGCGGAGGAACAGAGCAGGGCTAGCTCGCCGTGGCCTAAGGGGCGGAATTGATGAGCGAGGCAGGGATTGCATAAGCAAAGGCGTTGAGCGGCTTTTCTCTTCCCGGGGACGGAGTGCGTGTGCGAATGTAAATGATTGGGTTCCCATAACTGTTTCCTTTTTTTTTGTTTTCCAGGTAAAAATCACGGGCATACAATACCCTTAGAAGAGACTGGTTTGGATCGTCCTTCAGTATATGTTCTCATGCATTACGTGTTTGTCTATGTGATTGACTGTATGTGCAGATAAATAAGTTCCCCCCTTTCCACGACTGAAAAGTCCCGTTTTCCAATGCTCCCCGCTCACCATGTAAAAAAAAAGACGAAAACGCTCAGACTACACAGAAAGACCACTTTGTTACCTCTTCTTGCCCCCCGGCGGCGGCGGAAAAGAAGTCTGAATCTTCTGGCTCTCGACCGGGCTGCCCCCGAGCGAGGTGACCCTCTTGGGCATCGGCCTCGCCCTGTCCTTGACGACGATCCCGATGGTCCTCGCCGGCTCCGTGGCGGGGAGGGAGTCTATCGTCGGGATCTGGTGGTGCCTCTGCGGCGCGGGCCAGCCGCCCTGGCTCATCAGCGGGCTGGCGGTGTTCCCCGACGTCGGGGAGGAGTACGTCGTCTGCGACTGCGGGGCGAAGGTCGCAGCGTAGCCTGCCGACGGGGAGGTGAAGCCGTGTTCTGAGGGGATGTAGGGGCGCAGGGGGATGAGGGGCGCCGTGGAGGTTGTCGAGGTCGGGGTGTAGTCTTCCGGCGAGGCGTTGTGGCGCGGAGAGTGGGATTTTAGGGGCATTATGGGGAGGGAGGTCTTGATCGTTGTCAGGGGGAGGGCGTCTTTGTGTTTCTTGTCGGTGAGGTTTGTCGGGCTTGGGGAGCGGTAGGAGAACATTGTGCTTGGGGCCCAGGGGTCCTGCGGGGTGGTATGCGGCGAGTAGGCTTGCTGCTGCTGCTGTTGTTGGAGCTGCATGCGGGCCTTCTCGCTCTGCATCTCTTCCTCCTCGACGGGGAAGAAGTTTGGCGTCTTGGGGGTGAGGTGCGTCTGGCATCGGAAGGAGAGGGATGAGACGGGGCGGTGGCCCTTTGCTCTGCGGGACAGCTCGGGGTTGATCCCTCGGCGGGCCCTGCGTTTGCGGTACTGGATGAAGACGCATCCCGCGATGAGGAGGAGCAACACGACGGCGCCCACGACGATGCCGATGATCGTTGTCATGGGGATGCTCGCGCCGTCTTTCTTGTCGGCAGCGGTTGCATCCTTGGGGTCGACAACGGTGATGACGCCTTTTGTGAAGACGGTCTGGTTGAGGCCGATGAGTGTCCCCGGGTCTGGTCTCTGTTGGCAGCCTGCGCCGAGGGCTACTAGATCTAGAGGGTATTAGAGAGATGAATATGAAGCCGTCGTAGAGGGGGTTGGATTACAGTTCGCCAGGTAGTAGTGCTCACCACCTGCCCTGACGCAGGAGAGACATTTGTCGTAGGCGGAGCCGAGTATGGCGCCGCCGTCTGCATCGCAGTATGAGTACTGCCCGGAAGACGGGTCCAGATCGCCGTCTGTGAGAGCGGCCTCGAGAGCACCGCAGGCCGTGGAGGTCATGCAGGGACCACCGCCGGTGTCGGTGGCGTTTGGGTACCCGAACACGCAGTAGTCAAACGAGTATCTCATATTATCTTGTCATGAGTTAGCGTCTAATCTCGCCATGTGAACGATGACCTGACTTACACAAGAACCAGGCCTGGTCATTCTCGCCCCCCTTGACATAGTTGCTGTCCTGCAGACAGCTCACGCACTGCTGGAATTTGCGGCCTGCGTTCTCTGTCTGGTATTTGCTGTCATCGCAGGTGATGTCCTTATTTCTGGTGTTTGACGAGTTGGGGTCCGAGTAGTCGAGGTCGTTGGAGTCGAGGCAGAAGGAGGCGCAGGGCGAGTCGGGCGTGACCTGCAGACCTGCGACATACCTCGGCAGGAGGGATGTGAGGAGGACGAGGGTGGTGGTGCGAACAACCATTGTCGATGTGCGTTTTCCGGGATTCGGACGAAACGAGTGTCGGTGAAGAGGACGTGAGATACAAGACTTCCAGCGCCTTGCACAGATTACAATTGAATAAGGTGAGGCAAAGGGAAGAGGGTATCTCAATGTGACATTTAGGTAACGATCCTGCCTGTACGCCCGCAAAACAAAGACACGCGCAAAAACGGAATAAGCTCAGAGTAGAGAATCACGAGAGAGGGAAGCTTCAGTAGGATGAGGCTTGGGACCTGGGAACGGTGATATAAGTTCTTGCCGTCCGTGTTGATCAGACATGGGCAGCTGCAGGAACGTGTGGATGGTAAGGTGACGGTCTGGAGTCGCCCGCAGGACGCAGCCGGACGGAGCCAATGGGCAGGATTCCGAATGTATGGGGAGGCGGATGGCTTCATCGACGCAGGCCTGCTTGAGATGAGCATAGTTGGGACTGGGCCATGGTCCTGCCGCCCGGCTGCGAGACCTGCAGTGGGTTAGTTAGTATTCAATTCATCGACAGAGGGTGTGGTGATGTTCTCAAGAAAGGAGCCAATGAGCCTGCACGATCAAGTCCCAAAGGAAAGGAAAGTGGCAATGACCCCGGACTTGGGTCCCCAAGCAGCACAGCAAACGCCGCCCGCCAGAGAGCCGACGATGTTTGCTGGAAGCTCGCCTGACGAACGGCGCACATCACCAACACAAGCGCCAGCGGCACCGTTCCTGGCACTTGCAGGACGAACCAACGACGTGCGCCGTTGCAACCTCTCAGGCACGCCTAGCAGCGGGCACTTGCCAACCGACGACCAACTAGCTCTCCCGCAGGCGCCAGATGGGGTAGCGCGGCATTCGATAGTGTCCTTTCTCTGCAGCGTTTCTCGCGGGTTGCGTGCCTGTGCCTGGCGCAAGAATGCTCGGCAGTGTGCGTGTGGGTGATCACGGTCGCCGGCGGCTGCGAGATGCGCACGACTGCGATGAGGTGACGGGGCCTGCGTCCTTCTCCCCTCGTGGTGGCCAATTGCAGACGAGCGTTTGGAGATGACTGTGGTTGGACGCAGGTGACAGTCAGCCCTTTTCGATCTAGCCCGGGCGCTTACCGATCACAGAGAATGGAACCCAAACACCGCTGATCCTCGGAACATTTCTCCTGAGTTCTGAGTCCTGAGTCCTGACGGGTTCCAGTCAGTGTCTTTGGGCCCCATCCATGATTGATCCATGATGGATGTCGGCGGTCTGCCCTTTAAAGCACCCCACTTAAAGCCGCGAGCTCGGTTCACCTTCACACTCAGCTTCACTCAACGTGCTCTGATCAGCTTCTGAGTGTGTTCGATGTTCAGTGTGGTGTTGGTTCATTCGGTCCACTGCGGGCCCCAAGTGGGGGGCATAGTCGTCCGCAGCACAGTCGCGACGATCACTCAGTCAATGCTCCCTTTTCTTCCCGGATTCCCGCCTACCTTCTTTTCCTTAACTGAACACTGCCTGTCGTTCAAGCGCCCCCAAAACATCGAATTGTCAATGCATAGTCGTTCGGCATCACAGCCCGGGCCCTGTCTTATCCCTCTTATCCCTCCTATCCCTCCCCCCTTCCTCTTCACCCTTTTACTTGACTTTAGCTATTAGGGGGTGGGACCATGTCGCCAACCGCCAACCCCAGGGTTCCCTGCCTCTCATTACAAAGTTCGATGCGAACCAGAGAAGCTGTCCCCTTTCGGCAGGCTGGCATGGGGGCCAGTTACTGAGCTGCGTCGAACCTTTTCTTTTTCGTAACTCAAAGCTTGTCCTGACTTTGCTTCGCCGCCGAGTCGGAGCTGACGGTGTGCTCACTGAAAGACGTCCGTCCCATTCGCCGCACCAACCGCAAACTCTACAGTCGAGGCATCCAATTGCCGTCCGGTTCGCGCAACGGTCGCTTACCAAATGGTGTGTTCACGGTCTGCGGCTGGTTCCGAATTGTGTGTATGTATGATTTGTTCTTTGTCATTTGTCTCGTGAAAACGACCGGTTGGGCCTTCATCGCCTATATGATGCAGAGTCCTCAAAACGCCCGCACAAGAAATGTAAAAAACGAATGTCCTGTATGCCCCCGAATCATGTATGAAGTCTCTTTTAGACTTTCCTTTGTAAAACCCGCACAAATATGTGTGTCCAAAACGCTGGGTGCTCGCTGAGATCCTTCCTCCCCCAAGAAGAGAAATAAGTAAGGATACACAACTGAGATGATGCTGTGAGTGTGTAACACAAAAAATATGATTACAGAAATTATTTCCTCTTTCGTCTTTTCGTTTCGTTTCGTTTCTTTTTACCTTTCTCTCTCTCTGTCTCGCTCAGCTGATGATTACATCTCTGCCGGTGACGGAGTACTGCGTCTGGTAGAGACACCTCCCCTCCGCGCAGTCGCCGTGGAAGAGCATCTGCCCTCCCCCAGCAACGCTCGTCGCGCCTCCCGGGGCCGTGAGGTTGAAATCGCCCGTCTTGAGCAGCATCCGGCTCGGCCGCACGTAGGGGCCCTTGATGTCGCGGCTCGTCGCGTAGTTGACGTTGTAGTTGTCCGAGTTAAAACAAAAACTGCTGAAGAAGAGGATGTACAGCCCGTCGTCGGTGCGCACCAGGTCCGGCGCCTCCACCAGCGGGCCGTCCGCCGCCGTCCGGTCGAGGATCTGCACCGGATCGCCAACTTTGCTGTACCCGTCCGCCTCGACCTCCTGCAGCATGATGGGCGTCCCGACGAGCGGCTCCACGCCGTTGTTGCAGTCGCCGCCGTTGCCCACGTTGTTGCCGTCCACCTTGTACACCACGTACCGCTTCTTGGTCGACTCATCGTAGAAGCCAGCGGCGTCGATGGCGCCGCCCTGGTCGAACGGGCACACCCACGGCTCCTTGGTCGGGACGTACGGCCCCGTGACGGCGTCTGAGATGCCCACGCCGATGCAGTGCCTGCCGCCGCCGTCGACGACCTCGCCCGAGTAGTACATGATGTACGACCCGTTGTCGAGTCGTCTTACATCCGGCGCCCAGGTGTTCTTGCCCGTCGTCCAGCCGCCGTCCGGGAGCGCCTCGATGTCGAGCCACTCCCACGAGCCCGAGATCTCGGCGGCCTTGGCGACCTGGATCTGCTTGTCGTTGTTGCTGGTCGCGAAGGAGTACCAGTTGCCGTCGCCGGCCTGGATCAGCGCCGGGTCCGGGAAGTCACGGTTGAGTCTGGGCTCAATGACCTTGTCTTGTCTGCCGACAATGTAGAGGGCGTCGATCTTTGAGGGTGCGCTCAGGGCTGGTTGTAAGCCGGCCAAGCACCACAGGCCGGCGGCCAATAGCGATGATGTTGAAAGCATTGTTCTCTCGGTCTGAGGGTATATATAATAAACAAAGAAACGATACAATTATATAAGGTATCTCTCTCGTAAAAAACGGGACAAAGTGTAAACAAAAAAAGAACAGCAGTAACCAGGTGATGCGCTCGTGGAGCTAAACAAAGTTGCAGTCTGAGCAGAAAAAAAGACCTTGGGATGCTGATGTATATGTGATGAGAGGAGGAGTGTCTGTGTCGTGGGTGGTCTTGGGTCTCTTTTGGGTATTCGCTTTCGTTCTGTCTTTCTCTCAAGGAATTGGACGGTGGTCTATTACTTAGCTTTGCCAACACCGAGTACACATTACTTCGAAGCAAGTGCTGCCGTCATGAATGTCATAGCGAACTGTATTCGAGAAGCAGAGAAAAGAATTAAGAGCTGTCCGGTCTCGAGGTGCGTGCGAGCGAGGTCCTACTTGTACTCGAACGAAAAGGACGAGATGTGGGAGACAGCAGCAGCAGCTGCTGCGCCAGCTCCAAGCTCCAGCTACATCCCGAGACGAGAACGGTATTGAGAGCAGGAATGACATGCCTCCTTAGACCTTACTACATTCACTCACACACCTACGAGGTACACGCTCCAAGTACACCGCAGCACACTCCTTTACTACGACGACAAGCAAGAACCGACAGCCACACACACACACCTCCACCCGCATTTGCAGTGGTAATCTCACATTCCCGATCCGCATTGCCCAGAGACTTGGGAGCTGGCCCTAGGTGGGTTTGTTCCATTCACGTCAAAGCAGATGCTTGAAACAGGTGGGCCGGGGGTGAGAAGTGTGAGTGAGTGCGTGGCAGCGTCTTGCTCGACCGGATACCCGACGGGAACTGCACGAACCAGCAGAGGAAAAAAAAAAAAAAAAATCAGAAGAAGCTAGAGCCTCTCCGGTGCTGCTGCTCCCACCTTACAGCTGCTTCTCTTCTCGCCTTGCTTCCGAACTTGCTTCCGCTGCTTCCAAGGTCAAAAATCGCCTTGCATTTCCGCCCAGGTTATGCTGCTTAAAATTGCTCTTCCTAGGGCTGGGCGCGCGTCAGATGTGTGGTCAGATAGCAAATCCTCTTTAGGCTTCAGCCCATAAAACTGCAGCTGCTAGGCTAGCAGATCAATAGCAGCAAGACATGACAGACGGACAAGAAAAAAAAAGCCCCTCGGGAGGATTACACGCATCCGGCAGTCGGCTGCTAGGCCCTATGTGCTGGCTGCCATGTGGGCTACCCACGTTAGGGGGGAAGGGGGTCAGAGAGAAAAGTTGGTCGTCATGGAGGCTCTTGGGTTGGTCTGGAACCGGGATGTCGGTGGTGACGGGGGTCGACGGGGGATCGCCAACTGGCGGTGTCGGCCCCGCTGATCGGGCATGGGCGAAGCAGGGCAACTGGGCACGAGGGATTGAGGCGCGACTGGCAAATCCGTGATCCTGGAGAGGGGCTGTGAAAGCGCAACCCAAGGTCCCAAGGTCTCAAGGTCACTCACTCACTCACTCACCTCCCCTCCCCGGTGCCCCTCCCACCCAACGTGGCAACGACACCAGAGACACGCATCACTAGGAGAGAAGAAAAAGGCGGGGTGACGTGCTGCCATCTCAGGGGTGGGCATTGAGGATCCGCTAAAGTAATTATACCCAGTTACGGCGTGGTTCTGGGTTGCATTATCCCAATTCCATGAGGCATCAAGGAGGGCGGGTGGCAGTTGTCCTTGTTTCCGTGACTGGCCAGCGCATGTGGCCTGAGACATGCTTGGTGACAATGCTTCCCTGTCTTTGGTGTCCTCTCAGGGAAAGCGCCTTCGGACGATGGACGGAACACGTATATTGTAGCTGTTTATGACTGAGATTCCCAAACAGAAATCGTTCGGATGAGATCCACGCTGGCTCGGACCCGACTGAGCTGCTGTCTGAAAACCCGCCGGGGTCCTGCTGGGAGTACGTAAGTCCGCCAACAAGGGTTTCCGTGTTTCCGTTTCAACCGCCTAAAACATCGATTCGTGACATTTTACGCTGCCATGTGCTTCTCGTCTCATTCTCGACCGGTCGAGAACTTTTTTTGGTTTGAACTGATCAAGCAGCTGTAGTCGCCACTTTTTTTTTTCATATAGGACCTATCTACTCCTATCCAGCCAGTCCGTACTATGTTCAACGGGAGAGAGAAAATGATGAGAAACCAAACGCCACTTGCCAAAGCCAATTTTATGGTACAACAGCCAACCGCCGACCATTGTTCAACAAACACTTGGTATCGAGCCAATCGAGGTAAGATGCAGCGCAACAATAGCTTACTCGCTGTCGTCATCGTCGTCAGCTTCGCCTGACTTGGCAGCCTTCTTCGCGGCCTTGGCTGCCTTCTTCTCAGCCTTTCTGCGCTTGCGCTCGGCACGCTCGTCGGGAGTTTCACCCTCGTGCTTCTTGCGCTTCTTGCCGTCCTCTTCGTTGTTGGCAGGGGTGACGACAGTGCTGGTAGAGACGGTCTCGACCACCTTCTGGGGAGTGGCCGGCGCAGCCGATGCAGCCGCCGCCGCATCACCGGCAGGAGCGCTGAAGTCCTTGTACTCAGACACCCACTTGGCGGGGGTGGCCTCGTTCGGGCGTCCGAACTTGTCCAGCTTGCCGTCCGCCTTCATCTTCTTCTTCTCCGATGCAAGAGGGCCAAGTCCCCATCTTCTGGGGTAAAGGTCACGCTCCATGATGCATCGCTTGACCTTGGCGACAACGCCGTGATCTGGTCTCGGGTCAGTTGTGGATCGTCAATGTACAGTGACGGAGGAGGACAAACCGCATGTTGACATCTCGACGGTGGACATCTGGGCAATGCCGATGGCAATAGCCTCACCCTTGGTGGTCATGAGGACGACCTCATCGTGGACCTCAATGGCGGACTCTGTGCAGGGTGTCAGTATGTCACTGTATCCTGGTAACGTTGTTATGAAGCTTAACTCACCGTATCGCAACAAACCGGGAAGCATAAGCTTAGCACCGTAGCAGACAGCGTTGACCTGGGAGTACGTCAGTATCGGATGCAGCTGTTTTCGTGCGCCAATCGGTCTAAGACATAATCCACAAAGTCGCATCGGCCGTGAGGGGCAGTTGGGTTGCAATGAACGGGAATAACTTACAGCACTGTCCTTGACAACAATACGCTTGTAGCCAGTGAGGAGAGTCTCCAGGGGAGAGATGACCTTACGCAGGTAAGACTCATCCCTGGTGTTGTCCATCATCCACTGAGCGTCAAGCACGTCGTGCAGAGTGACCATGCCCTTGGACTCGTCCATGGCACCACTGCGCACTCTGCGGAGCTCCTGCATGTGGCCACCAACACCCAACAGAAGTCCCTATTTCATGTAAGCAATCAGAACAAGGCTGAATGATCTTCTTAACGTTACGTACAAGGTGGACACAGAGGGTACGGATGTAAGTACCGGCCTCGCAGGAAACCCAGAAGACACCGAGATGACGATCCTAAAATCGCGGTCAGCAATATTTCTAAGACAGGAGTGGATCTACTTACATTGTCGAACTCGATCAGCTTGGTCTCGTAGATGGTACGGATACGCAGCTGACGCTTGACGGCAGAGATCAAAGGAGGGCGCTGGAAGAGGGCACCAGTCAAAGCTAGATCACGAGTCAGACAATGATGTCGGCAGTTGCGGTGAGGTTGGATTGAACATACTCTCGAGAGCGCGAGCAAACTGGGCCTGACCGCCAGGCAGCTTGTCGTGGAGGCGGATGACGGCAACATACTCCTTACCGGCACCCTGCTGGGACTTGACGAGTCTGGTGGCGCGGTCGACGCTGCAAAGAGAAAATTTCGTCAGTCGCAATTCCTCAAGGATGCGGTTCGTCGAAATTGGAAGGTTGCTACTAACCAAACAATCAAGCAACCTGAGAAAGTTAGCAAAACACGTTCGAGACGTCAATGTGGGACGAGTCGCTACTCACCAGTGACCTTGGGATCAAGGGTACCGCTGTGACCAGTCTTCTCAACGCTGTGCAAAAATGAGTTAGCAATGCCTTCTTCATCCCAACCATAAATTTGGCAAAAGCCAAGCTTGCGGCTCCCCGAAATCGTTCGATCGTTCCTTTCGTTGACAAGCTGACGGCAATGGCAGTTCCCGCGAATTGTGACGACACTTTCCAGGGCAATCCATGATGGTCGGTTCCCAGCACAGCCTTCCGCGAAAACTTCTCAAGTCGGCATGCAAATCGATAATGACGCTGTGCCTTGTTCTCACAGCCTCGCGATGATGCAGCCTGAACAGACATGTCGTGACGTTGAAATTATGTTCCACGTTGTACCAATCCTTGTCTGTGTTTCGCAAAAGCCTGGCCGGACACGTGCGCGCCACGTCGTGAACATTTGCCCGTATAGCCACCGCGGTCCGCTTAAGAGGATGCCATTGCCGTCGATTCGTCTTCGATTTCGGGGAGCAAATCGCATACGATGCATCGCGATCGTGCGAGCTAGAGAATGGAATGGGATTGCATACCGGAGCATACGCTTGACCCAAGCGACGACCTCGTGAGAGGAGGGCTACGCGCAAATCAGCACACATGGTCATCAATTCAATCATGAACAGTGAGAACATACGTTAGAGGGCTTGTCGAGGTTGATAACACCGGAGGAGATGTACGACTTGATGTCTCTCTTCAGAGGGCTGCATCCTGCCGGAATGGGAGTGAAGTGACCCGTCCGGACGAGAACTGCAGGACCGGTCAGCCATGTGCTCGTTCTATACGAGGCATTCGCTCCGTATCCAGAGGGAAGGAAACTTGCGCTTGTCGTAGTTCTTGAGCAGCAGAGGCCAGCTGCTGGTGTCCAACTGGGGGACAGCAGCCTGAGGCTTGATGGCGAACTCCTCCTCCTCGGAGGCCTTAACAATTTCCATAGCCATCTTGTCCGACTTTATCCCGAAACGACAGGAGGTTTCAATGGGGAGGGAAGGTGTCGGTCGGGTGTTGGGCGTTTGCGGTGGGAAGGAAGTCGCGAACGTCCAAGAGGAAGGTCTCGTGGTGTTGGGAGGACTGGCTTGAAGCTTCCCAATCCAAATTTTTTTTCCTGCTGTGGGGTGCGAGCTGCCAAAAAATCCATTCCGCTCCACTTTGTGGCGTCGGACAGCCATTGAATGGATTTCATTGGCCAGCCCGCTGGACTAGCCACAGGACCCAAGACGCGACTCGGTTCCGTCCCGCCTTTTGAGCATGGACTTCTCAAACTCGAAAGAAAACATCGTCATGCGGAACTAACAACGGTCCGTACCTGGAGACAATGGAACCCTTGCAGTCACAAAGCGCTCAACACGGGAATCTTTGGGATGTACTTTGTATTCACGTTCACATTGTCTTCGCCTTGTCTCTGCATCTCATGAGCAGTACTGAAGACTCATGAGACTCATTCGGTATCGTGCAACTCCAAACTCCCGCTAATAACACCCAGATCCGCCTAGAGGCAAAGGCCCCAAGTCAACTATGTACAGCTTCTCATAATCCTTCGCAAGAACCGCGACCATTTATATGTATCCTCGCCTGAGGTCATCTTCTGTCATGCCGTGATACGCAGCCGGGTTGTGCTCCGCATACATAGGGTGCGCCGGGTGCTGGAGCACAGGCGGGCTGGGATGCCTCTGTCGCGCGTCCCATTGATGGTCAACCTCTCTCAACTCATAGGACTCAGATCGTCCCTTTCCCTTGTTAGAATCATCCCAATCTTGCTGAGAATCATCAGTGCCACCCAGAGCAATGCCGATTTCCTGCTGTTGGCCCTGAGGTTGCGCCTCGTGTGCTGGCCACTGCATGTTCGGCGCCTCAGTCCCGCTGACCGGACTGTTGTATTGCGAAGAGTAAGGGGAGAAGTATCTTGGGAAGTTCTTCTCGCCTTGTGGGCTGAGTGGAGACTCGTCCCAGTAGCGATGCGGTCTCGTGGTGCTCGGCGTGTCGTCCCAGCTTCGCAGAGGACGTTGACTGAGCGGAGTGCCGTTGAGTCCGGCGACGTTGAGTGGTGAGAGTGGTGACGGCCAGCCGTTGGCGGGACCCTTTTGCTTCATTTCGAGCTTCTTCAAGAAAGCCCTTCTCCTCCTCTTCCCGTTCCAAACAATGCAGAAACCGGTCAAAGCGAGAATGAGGACAACGCCTCCGATTGCGATGCCGACCTTGCCGCCCAAGGAGATGGGGCCGCTGTTGTAGTTTGGCACGTATGTGTTTGTTGGTGTCGGGTCAGTGGCATTCACTGAAGTCTTTGAGAAGGGAGAACCCTCGACAGAGACGGTCTGTCCAGGGTCAGGCTTCTGCTGACATCCGGCATCCAGGATGGTCATGACTAGAAGCCAATTAGTCAAAGAACCGTAGTGTTCTGGGAATCAAGACTTACAATTAGTCAAGTAATGGTTGTCGCCGGCGCGGAGACAGGCTGTGCAGCCAGACAGCTGATTGTGATCCCAGTTGTCACAGTAGTCAAACTCGGTGCCGTTAGAGGCAAGGTCATTGTATTTGATGGCATCTTGGAAAGGCTCGCAAGCGGTTCTGTTTGAAGAGTTACTAGGTAGGACGAACAACGCCATCGCACGCTGACATACCTCGTGAGACATGGGCTGGACCCGACGTTGGGGTTTTCTGGATACCCGAAAATGCAGTATGAGACAGCGTATCGGAGGTTGTCTGATAATGTTAGTCATGGTTGAGCCAGTGAGGACCGAAGTATTCAACATACAAAGAAGCCATTGTACGTCAGTCTGAGATGCGGTTGAGTAATCACTCGTCAACTCGCAGGAAACACACTGCTGGTATACAGAACCGGCAGCGCTGACAGAGTAATCCGACTCTTTGCAGACAACGTCATCCTTCGTGGTCGCATCCAGCACGTTGCCGCAGAGTGTCTGGCAAGGTGAACCCTTGGCCACGTGGAGAGCCGTCGCATGGCGCAACCAGAGGCTGAGCGCCGCAGCGCCCGTCGCAAACCTCATCGTGGAGAATTATGAGTGGTAAAAAGGTGCGGGAAGACTTCAAATACTGCTCCCGACCGGCAAAATCGCAATCGGAAATCGCTCGAATTATGTATCGGACGGCTGCGCACGGAAATACCGGTTTGCAGTCGATTCAATCGCTGAGGGGCAAAGTCGCCAGTGTTACATGCCTGCGGGAGTGTGATGGGGAGTCTGGTTCGTTGCGCAAGAGCTTATGGACGGCGATGCCAAGCGATGAAGGGGAAAGTCGCAAATTGACGCCGTCAGGAGGATATCACGATGTGACGACTCGCGATGTTGACCACGGACAATGCGAGACGACGCTGCATATGTGTTTCGGTGTTTGCGAGAGAGAAGATGGGCACGCTGTGATTGTGACGAGAGACGCAGCCATCTGCATCTCCATCACCTCGTTGGTTCTTACGGAGCGTGTGATTGGGGTCCAGAAGAATTGGGGTGGCACGGCGAACTGTGTGCACTTCCCGCCCTCCCATCCGCTGCTCTCCTCACTCCGAGGTGAGGAGGTCGGTCCACACGACCACAAGTCCGGGCCGTTCCAACAGATACACAATACGAATGGGGCCTGATGAGCAGATGCATCTGCCTGAGAAACTGGCGAGCTGGACGGGCTGGAGAAGCCCGTTGGCCGTTGACCCAGGTCTGCGATCCCACACCGCTGTGGGCTTGGCTGGCAAACATTGGCATTGGGAGGGTGAGATCTGCTCTCGTCGCTGGCTCTCGTAGCGCCCTGAAGTCCCCTGGTGGGAGGTGGCGTGCAGTGTAGTTGGCAGCCCCCAGCCACTTAGCATGCAATGATCCCGGCTGGCGACCGAGCTAGAGCTGCAAGAATCCCTGTCACGATTCACACTTCAGCAACCTCATCCGGTGCGGGCAGCCATCTCCGATTGTTGATTGGACATCTCATGAGCTTGAATTCTCACGGAAGAGGCCCGTTGGACGGCCTAGCGCCCTGAGAGGAGGAGAAGCATGGCGTTCCTGGTTTCCCGCACTGGTCAGCATGCCATCCGAAATTCAATAGCCCCTCCCTCCTTCGCATCAACATCTGGCCCCCGGAGACCTCCTTCGAAGACCATCTAAGGAGATTGATAACGCGAGAATCGCGAGTTATGCATGTTGAACCAACAAACATAATGCCCCGCCGAGCGCTTCTGGTCATTTTGGCATGATCATTGTCTCATTACCTTCCATAAAGGTAGATGCCCCCGTCCTCACATCATTGACGCGCCAATCGAGGCCATCGGCTTCTTCTCGCGCGGTTTGCCGCAAGCTCTATTGACCGAGCGTCTATTCGGCTGCCGCGGATAGCCATTGCATGACAGTCTTGAGATCATAGCCATCATTACTATCAATCCCTGCGTGTTAAAAGCTGTCGGTCTTCAGCAGAGATTCCGGTATGACGTTGACGTTTGTATGGGTTACCAAGTGGTCGCACAATCTGGCCGAGGCTTGTCCTGTAAGTGAGAGCTGGAGTACTGCTGATGTTAGCGGTTAACGTCTAATCAAACCAGACACAAAGAGAGTGCTTCACAAGCCTAGCAGAAGCAGACGGATGACCAAATCAATTTAAAAAATGAAAATGTCTATCTATTTCAAACATTACATCCACGACCAAAGCGTTTTGCAGTGTCAACACCGAGGAAAGCTCCTGGTTAAAAGCGTACGTTGCTTCTGCACGGCTTCCTCAACGAAGGCGAAACGCGTACAAGGAGATACCCTGACTCCAACTCTCGATTCAAATCTTGCCTGTTGTTACTACTGATATGATGAGCAGCGGGCTACTCGTTGCTGCTCGATGAGCGCCAGAGCCATGCCCGAACGACGCTCCTAATTAAAATCATCGTGATGTTGTTCTATTTCAGGGTCAAGTATTTGAGTGCTACCTGTCTATGCACCGACGTCGCCCTATAACTGTTCTTAGTTTTGATGATTCCGAAAGCTCGCCATTATTGGAAGGAATGTTTGGTTCGTACCATGGGTAGCATTGAGGGAGGCACAGGGGGAGGCCTATTAGGGTGCGGCTGGGGAGAAGGAGTGGGAGGTGGTCTCTCCAAGTCAAACTCGACTTCTGCAACTTGAGTCTCCTCTCGTGAGTAAGTAGGTGCTTCGCGACTGAGGAAGTCTTGTATGTCTTTCTTTGCAGCCTTTTCACCAGCAGACTGGAGTAGTTTTGGCAGGAAAGAAAAGCCCTCATGTTCATCCATGTGCCTCTCGAGCTCGACAGCAGTCGCAAAATCCATTTTCTTTTGCTTGAGATGGCAAGCGAGGCATCTGTAGAATGCTCGCAGATGACGCAAGTCGCAGGCCAAGAGATAAGAGGCTGCAAGTAGGTCCGGCGTCTCCAGAGGCGTTCCGTCGGCTTTTAGTCGAATAGCCATGTAGTCTCCAACCTCTAGGCTGCAATATTTGCAAACGAATCCCCACTGAGGTATTCCAGTCCTTTCTTCAGTGACCGTGGCAAGAGACGCGGCGTTTGCTCTATTGTTTTGGCAGAGAATAGCGCCGTAGCAGAATCGCCGATTATTGGAGGTATCATTAAGATCCAAGGATGAGTTCGCATCACCGCCTGTATCCTGATTGCCTTTCGCCAGTCTCAACCGAAAACTGTCTATTGCTTCTTGAACTTGGGTTTTCAGTGTCATCGCCGTGGTCTTCTGCAACCTCAGCTTCTCTTTTTGCGTCGGCGGCAAGTCCACATTGTCCGCAGATGAGACTCTCTTCACATCGTTCAGAGTCCTCAACATGTTCTGAACTTTTACTTGGAGGCCTTTGAGATCGCTAAGAAACTGTTCTGTATCATAAGGTTAGTTTCATGACAGTTTTGGGAAACATACAGTATTGAAAGCAACAGGGATTACTCACGGTCTATCTGATCGGGCAGAGTCCGGCCCAGGCGTGGTGAGAGATCATTGACATCCTGGGATAGTTGTAATGCAGCCTGAGAGGGATGGAGACCGTTGGCTTCCTTCCGTTGGTCTCGTTTCTCGAGATGGTCATCAATGAGTTGAGCGATGGTTCCCAGCCCTTGAGCTACAGCAACCACCGTTGCTATAATCGTTAAAGGGTCCATTGTTGCCAGAAATGAATAATAGATGTGGTAATTCGGCAGATATTTGCAAGACACCCTGTGTTATGGCTCTTGACACGTTTTGAAGGGCTGCCGACAATGTCAATGCGCGCGTTGGAAGAGTACAGGAAAGCTGACGAACTACACGAGGCGGACAGCCAAGGAAGCCAAGACGGCACGTGGACGGGCAGACTTCGTCTAGAGCCTCAGAATACACACTGACGAGATCAGCTTGCGTGTGTGTCTCATGAAATGTGCAAAAGTAGGCCATTCATAGCAGTCCGATGTCATCGAGTGACGCGGCGGTTTTACAGAAGAGCCTCACGTTGGCTGATATTCGTAAGTATTTCAGCTTGCTTCAGCTTAGCAAGGCAGACCGCCCGCCCGCCTCGTTGTGATGGGTAGTAACCCCAAATGCATCAAGCCGCCATTCGTCGACGGTTGCCTCACGCTAGGACAAGAATTGAGGCTCAATGGAAGTAAATAAGAAGAAAGTAAAAATCCAAGTATACCACAAGATAGGGGGTCCTGCGCATCCCCTTTCCAATTTCATCAATCCGAACAGGCTTTGCTTCTCGTGTCAACCGCAGCAACCTTCTGTTCCACCGAAAATCTTCCACTATTCACCTCGTTTGGTCTACCTCACATTCTCTGTTTTTCAATTCTCGTTATGTCCGATTCACGTAATGGCATTGTCTCGGGGGCGGGCGAGAATTCCAGTCAGCCTGGCTCCTACCTCGACCCTGACCCCGATAGCAAAGACCAACATGCAATCATCATGGCCATGGACCGAGTTCGAGCTTTGGGTATTCCGAGCATTGAACCTCCACAACTTGTCGTTTGCGGCGCCCAATCTTCGGGGAAAAGCTCTGTGTTAGGGGCAATCGCGGAGATTCCGTTCCCTTCAGGCGAAGGGATGTGCACCCGTTATGTGATTAAGGTCACATTGGCCCACGACGAAGATGATGTTCTGGAGATGAGCATCAAGCCTGGGCCCAAACGAAACGATGGAGACAAGAGAAGATTGGAACAGTTCAGAGTCAGCGAGAAGCTCACCGAAGACTCGTGGAACACCCTACAAGACCACATGAAGAGGGCTCAAAACGTCATATTCCCAGATGATGACAGAGACGACGGCAGAGTGACAGGAATTAGCAAAGACGTCCTTTCAATAACAATCAAGGGTCCCAAGAAGAAGCCATTGCAGCTAGTCGACCTTCCCGGCCTGATTGCGTTTCATGCCGACCAAGAGACCATCGATGCAATAAAAGAACTCGTTCTCAAGCACGTCATGATGGAAAACTCAACCGTCCTTGCAATCGTTGACAGAAGCAGCGACCCCGATATTGCGGCGATCTTGACGATGTGCAAAGAACACGCACGCGGACGAACGATTGGAATAGTTACGAAACCTGACAAGGTTTCCGATACCGAGAGATTCGTGAAAATCGTGAAGGGTGAAGAGCCCGCTTACGAGCTGTTCGAATGGCACGTCCTTCGCAATCTTGACCGAGACTCCGATGGTGCAGACTTTTCCATGAGTGAGAGAAACCGTCAGGAGAAGGACTTCTTCAAGCAGTCCTTGTGGAATCAAATTCCCGCACGTCAACTTGGGATTCACAAGCTTCGGTGTAGGCTGCGGAAGAAGTACTTCGCAGCCACCAGTAAGGAAATTCCTGGATTCAAAAGAAAGGTCGAAAAACTCTTAGCTGCCGACAAATTCCGCAACTTGGACGATCCTATGCGGGACGATGTGTTGAAAACCGTATTCAAGTTAGCAGTCGAGCGACTAAGAACGGCTGCTCGGGATCACGCCAAAGGAGAGTACGAACACGACCTTGCTGATCGACCTAAAGATGGTCCTGAACGTCTCAGAGCACGCGTCGTTAAGCAGGATCACCTGTTCAAGCTATAC